TGGGGACCAGCTCAGCAGGCTCGACTAGCAGAGTGCGCATTCACAACTCATCTCCCTGGGAGACAGGGGAGACGGCTGAAGGCTCCTAGTCCCCTGGCCGTCAGCCCACTTTGCTAGCTCGCTCTCTCCAGGCAGGCTTCAGAGCTGGACCCTCCAGCATGCAAACCCTCACTCTCTCCTGCAACCAAAAAAAAATAAAAAATAAACGTGGCTTTGAAGCCAAGGCCATGGGTGCTTTTGATCTTGGTTACAAAGCAAAGCAATTATTGGATACAAAAGCCCTGATTTATTTATGAAATGCGACGGACATCTTCAAGGCGGGAACGAGAAAGCTCACTGAAGACCAAGCCCTTATTGCCACACAGTGAATGGCTGCTTTCAAACACAGACCCCCCGAATGCCCTCGCTCCTCTTCTAAGAGTCCTTCCTCATTAGCGCTCCCTTCAGAACACCGCGGCTGCCAACAATCAAATTCACTTCACGGCCGGGGCAAGTAATTAAATTCTGCAGGCATCAGAGCAGAGAATAATGGATGCCTATTGTGTAGGAAGCTGATGCTGGAAATGGAATGGGCTTCAATGCCCAGTCTCAGAAATGGTGGGGGCGGGAAGGGGGAGCAAGCAGGATGCAGATGGACCCTCCCTGCTGCTGCACCATGGGGGGCCGGGGATTCAGTACTGGACCTGGAGAAGAAAACCTGTGCTTGGGGCCAGACCCTGCACTTACCTCAACTTCCTCACCTGGAAAACAAGGAGGTCGGACTCGGTAAGTCATTCTCCCTGTGTGGGCCCCAGATCAGCAGCATCAGCAGCGCCTGGGAACTTGTTAGACACGCGGAGTCTCAGGCCTCACTCAACCTAGCGAATCAGAAACTGTGAGGGTGGGACCCAGCAATCCATGTTTAACAAGCTGTCCAGGTAATCCTGACGCTACCCTTTGTGACCCACTGGTAGATCATGTTTCAGGGTGAGGCCACAAACTCAAACACATAAAGGGCCAGGGAGCTAAAATAAAGAAGTAGGTGTCACACACCAGACAGCTGCAGGGGCTGTGGGACAGTGGAGAGAATGTGCCTGGCCTGAGGGGCCAGTGGCAACTCAGCGCCAGACAATTACTGCCAAGTATGAACCCCTGTGGATCTGGTACTGTCAGAGCTTCTGGTCTTCCAAGAGGAACACAAAATTCTGATGTTTATGTGAAAGCCCACAATTTTAAAATATTGGTTGAATTTTTCTTAACATAGTGAGGGTCAAGCAGATTACACCTGAGAACCAATTCAGCTGTGGACTGCCATTCTGCAGCCTGCATTCCAAGCTGCCCTGGACCTGCGTCATGACATACTCTGTCCACCATGCTCTTGCCTTTCTCCTAACACCGAACTCCAAACCTCCCTTCCCTACTTGGGGGACTCCTCTTCATCCTTCAACACCTAATTCAAAGATCACATCCACTAGGAACTCATTCTCCACCCTCTGCCCCACTTTCCACCTTCTCCAGTAAGAAGATAGAGACGAATCAAACACGGGGCCCAAGAACTGACACGAAGGAGAAGGTAACACAGAGGAGGAAGACAGGGAGAAGTTATAAAAACAGGCCTTTCCCACAGACGAGGAATGAGGATCTCTTGGAAAAGTTACCCTACGGCTGCTTGAAAAATCATTTCAGGACACTGATCTCATTTGACCAGAATGTAATAAAATGAAGTTTTAAAAAGGGCAGATACAAAGACACACAAGTGCAGAATTCATAGGATAGATTAAAAACCATTTGGTACAAAATCCCCAGGAGACTGGAGCTGAGAGTTCAGAGTGAGTCAACCATGTGATGAGATGATCATGAAACAGGCAGGCGCCTTCATAGGTTTCCTTATCAGAAATAAAGTGTCTAGACAGCCCTGCTCTACTTTTAGCTGGTCAGGCCTTCCTGCAGTGTTCTGAAAGGTTCTGAATGTTCATTCTGCAGGCCAGAGAAGACCTGGAACATGACCCAGGAGGAGAGAAAATGCAAATCAAAATCACAAGGGGTCAACAGAAGGAACCTGGCGTGTCTGCCCAGAGGTGGGAAGGGCCTGGGTGTGTGGTCATGATTTCTGTCTCCGAATAACTGACAGGTTTCCGTGTGGATTTGATCTGGGTGGCCCACAGGATGTCAGCCTGGGGCTACAGGGGGTGGGCCATGTGGTCGTCACATAGAGACTGACTACACCCAAGCTCTTCTTACACCATTCAAAAAAAAGAAAAAGAAAAGAAACAAAATTGAAGCAGAGCTGCAGAGAAATTGAGTTCTGACAGTATCTTTTGTGCCCTTGAAGCCCCCCACACCTGAAGTCAGCCTCGGCTCAAAGAGCTGATAGGCTCCCTTTCTTCCCTCCAGCCAGGTGAGCTGCGTTTCCGCTCTTTGCAACCATAAGAGTCCTGATCACTACGATGGCCTTTAAGATCTCACCCACTCCCGTCCTGCTCTGGTGGATGCACATCTCACACTTAGAGCATTTGCCCAGAAGAACCCTGCTATGGCTGCCTCCAGTCCCCACTGCAGAAGGGGACATGGACAATCAGGAAAAGGAGTTATTAAGTCAAAGGGCATCCTGCCCCTGTGAGAAGCTGGCAGGTGGGGCAGCTGCCCCAGGACTACGCTCAGGAAGAACACCTGGCCTGGAAGCCATTCCCTCCTCCTGCGGAGGCAGGGCCAGAGCGTGACTTGGGGAAGGGTGAAGGACTCCCACCCCCAGCTGGGAAGGGAGACTCCATTCCTCGGGATCACTAGCAAGCCACCCTTTCATGAAAACCTACTGGGTCCCAGGCCTGTGCTGGACACTGGGCCTACCTCTACCCTTTCAACTAGTCCCTGAAGTTGGCATTCTCATCTCTGCTTCTCAGATGAGAAAACTGAGGCTCAGAGAGACTTGCCCAGGGTCACACGATCAGTAAGAGGCGCTGCCTCCTGCAGGTGTGACAACTGGCGATTCTTGGGCTTTACTTCCTCATCTATAAAATGGGCTGGGGGACGATCCTGTTCCCCAGGCTGACCAGAAACCAGCCTCTGCCACTGTTTGAGGTCTACAGGAACTATTATTATGTAAGGCTGCAGGCCTCGGTGCTGAGATCGTCTCTGACTGATGTCACACAAGGGGGCCACACTGCTAAATCAGCCAGCAAGGCCTGTCCCCAGCTCTCTCTTGGCCCAGAGGAGCCGGGTCATTTCCTTTGTTCCACAGGCACAGGCCTGGTAACGAGGACGCCAGGAGCTCAGCTGTGGACCTTTTTTCATTATTTTCCACCCTGTTAACCTCCACCACAAGTGAGGCTGCTGTCAGCCTAAATGAGACCTGAAGAGATTTATCTCTCTTATCCTGGGGCTCAGCTCAGGAAAAGACCCTTCATTTCCTGAAGGCCCTGATGACCCTTTCGCTGTGAGTCCCTCCCACCCAGGAAAATAGATGTGACAGTGGCAGTGGCAGGCGGGGGCTTGAGATAGGACCAAGTGATCTGAGTCACTTTAGATTGGCTTTGCAAAGAGCTATGTGATATTTTTTATTATTGCACTGTATTTATCTTCCTAATTATGTTTGCTTACGCAAATATTAAACTTAGACTACATCTCATAAGCACAGTCCCAGGAGGAGACCAGAGCATACTGTCAGGGAAGGGGATTAGCTTGCAATTACAGTTTTGTTATAGAGGTCATCCTCAAAGTGGACACTCCATGTACAGACCTGGAGCAATCCCGGTCACCTATTCCATAAAATTGGCACCTGGCAAGAACAGATATGCTAGATCATTTTAGTAGTAATAGTCTCTCACACTCGTACAATAATAGCCAGCTTTCCTGAGCACTTACTCAGTGCCGGGTGCTACTTTCCATGCTTTACTTGGAATTAACAACCCTTTTAATCCTAGCAGCTGCTCTGTGGGTATTTCTATCCCATTTCACAAATAAGGAAACTGAGGCTCAGAGAGTTTAAGTAACCAGCCCAAAGACACACAGCTGATAAATGATGGAACCAGGAATATGAACCCAGAAATTTAAGAATTCTGGACCCCAAACCATACCCTGAACCACTTCTCAGTAACACCTCCCTCCTTCTCATGCTCCATCTCATTGAACCCTCACACTGCCCCTGAGAATAGTTGTTCTTAACCTCATTTGATAAACAAACAAATGAGCAAATTTTGACCCTAAAATTCCTGTTACAGAAATTGATCTTAAGAAAATACCAGTGGCCTATCAACCAATGAATGGATAAAGAATATGCGGCATATATATATACAATGGAATATTATTCAGCCACAAAAAGAATGAAATCCTGCCATTTGCAGCAATGTGGATGGACCTAGAGAATATTATGCTTAGTGAAATGTCAGAGAAAGACAAATACTGTATGATATCACCTATGTGTGGAATCTTAAAAATTATACAAATGAATGTATATTCAAAACAGAAACAGACTCACAGATATAGAAAACAAACTAGTGGTTACCAAACTGGAAAGGGGCAAATTAGAAGTATGGGACTAAGAGATACAAACTAAAATATATGAGATAGATAAGCAACAAGGATATATTGTATAACACAGGGAAATACATCTATTATTTTTACATTAACTTTTAATGAGGTACGATCTGTAAAAATACTGAATCACTATGCTGCACACCTGAAACTAATAGAATATTGCAAATCAACTATACTTCAACTTAAAAAAATAGCAGTGACTATGACAAAGGTGTATGTATAAAGAAGCTCACAGCAGCATAATTTATAATAATATGCAAATCACTGAAGTGTTCAACAATAGGGATTGGTTAAATAAATTATGGTACATCTATATCACGAACTACCACATAATCTTTCCAAATGTTATGGAAGTATGCTCATTGATACGGGAAAATTTTGTGACCCAGTGTTCTGTAACTTGTTAGGTGATATCAGCAGAGAGTAAAATCATACATGCAGTCTGATCTCATTTGGGGAAAGTATATCCGTATTGCCCAAGTGCCCACCTTTTTGAAGAGTCTGATCACATCCTCGCTGATCTGGGAGAGGCGGACGATGACATTGTTCATGAAGATGTCATTGAGGGTGGCATGGTCTCGGCTCTCCCGCCTGGTTTGATGCAGGACTAGATACCAACAGTTCACAGGCGAGAGGAGATACTGGTCCTTCCTGTGGAAACCAAGACAGCTCAGGTTGGCTTCACTGGAACTGCCATCCATACAGTTTCTATGTTGTCACCCACTCTGGCTCTTCTGACCGTCACAGGGCCCTTTCAGCTCATTTTATTATAACGTATTTAACAGCTAGGGCCACAAGGGCAACAGAGAGCACGAGGGCTGAAACAGTCCTCCCAAGGTCACAGAGCAGTGCTGGGGCCAAAAGCCAGGACTTTGACTGTAAGCCCTCTCCCTACTGGGAACTCGCTGCACGCATCCCTCCCTTCTGGGAAGAAGCTGTCTTCCTTGGAGCTAAGAAATACTAAACCAATTGTGTTTGAAATACTTACATGAGTTCCAGAAATACCCAGTGGAAAGAACAAAAAGTGGACCCTTCCCTTCCACTCCCTGCCTCCCCCAGACCCAGGTTTCCCCTCAGGCTCTTAACCTCTTTGTCCTCTTCCAGGGTCAGTCCTGGTCTCCTGGCCTCTTGGCAACACATTCCGTTGCCCCTCAGTGGAGCTGAAGGCCTGGAGGATTTCAGGTTCTACACTTGGGAGAAGGAGCTGAGGAAAGCTGCTTTTGAGTGAAGTACACACAAGACAGATGAATCTTTGTCCTGCAACGACTGATAGACTCACAGCGTCCTCTAGCTGGGCACTGTGCTAAAACAGGGGTTCCCACAGGGTGGGGGTCCCCAGACCAGCAGCAGCATTGCCTGGGGTCTGTTAGAAAAGCACTCTCAAGCCCCACTCCAGACCTGCTGAATCAGAACTTCTGGGGGTGGGCCCAGCCACCTAGGTTTTAACAAGCTCTCCAGGGTGCTGATTCACACGAAAATTTGAGAACCACCAGTTTCCCAAAGCTTGTGAAATGGGATATTTCCAAAAATGAAATGGGGGCATATCTCTCCAGTCTATACTTTACCAAAGACCCCCTGTTAGCCTCAGTAAAGCGTGTATATATCCTGGCATCCAGGAAAAGAAAGGAAAGGGCAATGAGAAGCCAAAATCAAGCCACTAATCCCATGTTGCCACATGGGACATCTGGGCTGAGGGCTTGACCTATGACCCTTACTCCACTTTCCAAGGTGTGGAGGGAGAATGGGCAGCGGCCCATCCACCAGCTGAGGGTGACTGGACCCCTATCCCTGAGGGTGGGTCACCCCTGGGAGCTGGCCATGGTTCTCTCAGGAAACTCGGCCCCCCACCGTCAGTGTCTTTGAGGAGAGAATTCTGCGGACTCCCAGTATGACCACATCATCCTCCCACAGTCAAGTGGAAGTGTGGGAGGGGGTAGCACTGAGGGCCTCTGGGCTTGGCCACAGCACAACCACCCCTCACTCCACCCAAACCCTGGGCTTGGGAAGGATGGGGCAGTGGATGCAAGGCGCTTGACTTTCCTCTTTGTCACCAAACGAGCTAAAAATTTGTCTTGGTAGCAGGGATTTGGGAGAAGGGAATTTGGTTTAGATAGAGGATGGATATGTTAGAAACCATCTGAGGAAAAGGGAGGAGACGTTATGCTATAAGAGAAGTAAACCGATTTCTCCTTCGCGTATAGCCTAGAGAAAAAGCCAGAACACTGAGATCCAACGGCCCAGCCTGAATCCCTCAGCATTTACTCCGTGTCAGGTCTCGGGTGGGCCCCGGGTGACAGTGACAAGACCTGCCTCGGAGGGGCTCCCTGCGAGGTGGCTGCGGTGGAAGCATACAGAGGGAGGTGAGCAGATGCTATGACGGAGACACGCGGGGCATCGGTCCTGCGTGAGAACTCGGAGACGGCGCGCTCTCCCCCTGGGCTCTCCACGTCCCCAGCACACAGTCCCCTTTGCTTTCCTGCCAGCTTCTTTCCCACCTGGGGCCTTCACGATGGCTGTTCCATCTGGAATGTGTGAGCCCCTGCTCCTCTCTCTTCCTCTCGGTCTCAGCTTAAATGATACTCCCCGGAGAGCGTGCCTCTGACCACGCTCTAGGGCAGGAGTTCTCAAAGTGTGGTTCCCAGACCAGATGCCTCAGCTTCATCTGGAAATCTGTTACAAACGCAAATTCTCGGGGCCACCCCGGGCCACTTAATAAGAACTCCTCTGAGTTGCCCAGCATCCGTGTTTTAACCAGCCCTCTAGGTGACTACAATGCACACTCGGGTTTGAGAACTTCCACCTTAAGGGGTTTCTACTCCCCACCTGTCACCCAACTCGAAGTTCTGTGAGAGCAGGAGCTGTTTCTGTTTTAGTCTCCATATCCCGTGCCCAGCAAAGTGCCTGACGTGGAGTAGATGCAATGGAAGAGAGACCCAAGAGGAAAGGTCACATTTGTGCTGGGTCTTGAAGAATAGGTAGGAGTGTTCCAAATAGAGGGGCAGAGAGAGATGGAATTGCAGGCAGACAGAGAAGTAGCTCAGTCGAGCTAGAATTCTGAGTGTCACAGGGGAGGGCCAGTAGGACTTAAGGATGGGGAGACAGGTTAAAGGTTCCATTGTGGGGGGCACTGAATCCCAGCCTAACGAGTTGGAACTTTATCATCTAGGCCACGTGGCTCTTGGCCTGGGTTGTAGCACACTAGAATCACCTGGGAAGCTTTTTTAAAAACACCAAAACCCAGGCCCCATCCAAACCAATTAAGTCAGAATCTCTGGGGGGACAGCCTTGGCATTAGCATTTTTAAAACATTTTCTAGAAGATTCTAATGTGCAGCCAGGGTTAAGAATGCCTGCTGTAGGCAGTGGGGAGTCATGGAAGCTATTTAAACAGAGGTATGATCTAACCAATGTATGTCTTAGATCATTGAGGGCAGACTGGAGGCTGATGGATGGCTGGCTGGATGGGTTGGTGGATGGATGGACCGATGAGTGGGTGGACAAGCAGATGGATGAGTGGAGGGTGAATGAGTGTGGGGACAGGCATGGGGCTGGAGGCAGAAGGAGCAGTCAGGAGGTGACCTTAATCCAGGAGAAGAGAGATGATGAGGGCCTGGGTAGTGACCAGAGAAGGCTGGACTTCAGAGACTCCTCACCAGGATTGCAGATAATCTCAGAGACTTCCTGGAGATTGAGAGGAGTTGGGGGAGGGGGAAAGGGATGAGGATTCTGAGGTTTGGATCTCAGGCATCTCAGGGTTGATGCTGATGACATGAACCGAGATAAGAGGTGCAAGGGGAGAAGGAGGTTTGGGCAGAAAACACATTACACTTGATCCCATTTCCACTGCTTCCTAGGTGGTGATGGAAATGGAAAGATTAAAGGAGAGATGAGATAATTGAGCTGTTACTTAAGTTACTTCAGGGGCTTGCTCAGCCTGGGATGCGAGAATTGAACAGCACCAGGGAATTAAATGTGCAAACTTTATGGAAGTCACAGCCAGAAGATGAGTTTCAGGGGGAAAGGAAAAAGATCTTGAAAGGGTGCAGAAGTGCTGGGACAGCTTGGGGACCATAAATTAGGTCACCTGGCCAGGGAGACTGGATAACAGAAAGAGGAGAAAGGAAGGTGCCTTCCTTACCAGAATCTGTGACCAGGAGGCAACGCAGCCTCAGACGGAATTACAGAATGAGCAGAGGCCAGGAGAAAGTTAGCCAAAGGCAACCAAGGACTTATCAAGCTAAAGTGAGCGGCTGCTGGGAAGATGAAGGCCTTGATTCATTCAGACATTCGTTCATTCATCTGTCTCTGTATGTATGTGCCAGGCAGGCGAGCACAGCGGGCAAGACCCTGCCCTGACAAGCCTTCCACTCAGGTAAGGAGGCCACACAAGGAAACAGAAGATGATGATACAGCCTCACAAACATAGTGATGGGAAGACCCTGTCGCCCAGATCTGGTGTAGAGGTGAACATGGATGGCTTCCTGGAGGAAGCACTTTCCAGACTGAGAACTAAAGGCTGGAATGGAGGTTGACCAGGTTGAACTTTCCAGGTGGAGAAATACGACAAACAGAGCCCTAGAGAGAGCATGTTGGTGAGCTAAACATAGTTGAGGGGGCTCAGGCATGGTGCCTGGGGTCAGGGGCGAGGGAGAGTGAAAAACAAAGTTGGAGAATTAGGCAGAGGCCACATAGCAAAGGGCCTTTACGTCCCAGTAGAAAGTTTGAGCTTTGTCCTGAGGCTGGCAGGAGCCATTGCAGGGTTTGGAGCTGGGGAGTGAGAGTGTAAAATTCCACTTTCAAACCCTCACTCTGGCTATTGTGTGCAGGATGGACTCACGGAGGCCAAGAAGGAAGTTGAGGGATTCAGGAAACACTTAGGTAGTAAACTGACTGGACTCGGAGATTGGTTGGCTGGGAGGGAGAAGACGCCGCCCGGAATGAGGCCCATGTCTTCCAGGCTGGGCACCCGAGGGCAGGGGTGGCATTTACTGAGATGCAGAGGAGCATTTACAGCAGTGGGGCAGGGAGGGAAGGCGAGGAGTTCTGTTTGAACATGGAGAGTCTCGAGGGCTCATGGAACACTTGGAGGGCGGAATCTGGACTGAGACAAGTGTGGCAGCCGGCAGCAAGCACTTGGATGATACTCGAAGCCACGAATGACATGGGACTCTTCATAGACGCACGCGATCGTGGGACAGAAGAGGCAAGTCCTCAGGAGGCCCGGCCAGGCTGAGGCAGGACAGGTGGAGCAGGGTCCCAAAGGCTCTGGCTGGTGCACTGATCGCCGTCCCGCTGGCCATCTGCATTGTACCGGGACCACAGCAAGAGGCACCCAGGCTGTGTATGGCAGAGCTGGACACTGGCCTGCTCTTTTCAGGGGGTTAGTTGTCCCTTTTGAAACAGGACCGCTTGGACCTGAGACCCAGCTGTCCCTCAGCAGCCATTTTGCCTGCTGCAGCCTCACTTCCGGAAGACGTCAGAATGAACCTGGGCCGGCACTCTCTCCTCTAAGGCACATCGTGAGCAGCCTTTCTGCTTTTCCACTCTCGCGTCCCTGCGTCCACACAGGTGGTTGCTGCTGAGCTAAGTTATAATTGAGAACTTTCCCGTATATCTGGATGCATTTTCTTTTTTACGGCCAGAAAATAGCAA